TCCAAGCAAAGAAATTCGAAAAACCTTCGGACTGGACCAAGCACGTGCACGAAGACGTCTCGCCTTTTGCCTGCACGTGGGAAAACTGCAGAGACGGCAACAAAACATTCAAGCGAAAAGCTGATTGGGTCCGCCATGAAAACGAAGGCCATCGTCATCTCGAGTGGTGGAAGTGCGGCGTCGACGATTGCACGCACGATTGCTTCCGGCGGGATAACTTCCTCCAGCATCTCGTGCGCGAGCACAAGTTCCAGGAGCCCAAGTACAAGACAAAGGGCGATATCAGAAAGGCTGGCGGCGCGTGCCACCCAACCTGGCAGATGGTGGAGAAATGCCACAGAGTCACAAAGACAAAACCGGAGCAGGAGCCGTGTCGGTTTTGCGGGGAAAAGCTCACGACATGGAAGAAGTTGACAGTCCACCTGGCGAAGCACATGGAGCAAATCAGCTTGCCCATCATCAAGCTCGTGGAGCGGACGGAGGTTGATCCTGACACGATCATCAGCCCGGTGCAGGAACCTCCGCCGAGGCATTTCCCGCCTCCTATACCCGAAAAGAGCGATAGGAGGCACAGCGGACAGCCTCACATGCAGCAGCGGTTCGATCCGGCAATAGCTGGCTTGAGCCATATGCCAATGCGCCAAATGCCAATGTCCTATTCCAACACCCCGCAGCAACACACAGGCTTTAATGGGTTCCAGTCCTTTCCTTCGCCTGGCTATCATGCCGTGCCTTTCGGTGACCTATCACAAGGCATGATGACCTCGGGATCAATGAACATGCCCATGGCCCAACAACCCATGAGCCAAGGCTACGCCAACCTGATAGCCTCTCAGGCAGCGTACACCACCATGCCGATGACCACTACAGCCGGATACCTGACCTCTCCCATGTCGGCTTCGCAGATGGGTGTCTCCTCACAGCTGACTACTCCCCTGATGGGCACACCGTTGATGGGCCCGGTGCCTAACCAATTCGTGGGGGTGTCGCCAGACGGCATGGGAACCGAGTCTTTCCCTGGGATAGATCTCAACATGAATATGAACGCCTTGGGACTTCAGGATTCTGCCTCCATGGGGTACGCAAACTTGGATAGTGGCGGCGGGATGTTGACTAATACGAGCCTTACTTCCAATCCAAGCCAGGGCAACAGTCTATCGCATTCGCAGAATGGCCACCACGGTAGACAACACTCACATGGACATATGGTCGCGCAGTTCATGCCGATGACAGGTCCGCATGGGAGCGTGAGTCCGTTTGGGACGTCGCCTATGCCGGGACAGAATGGGTTCTACTGAGGCAATACGAGTTCTTGTTTTTCTTTTCTGGTTCTATTTTTGGTGTTGATAGAGGTTTCATGGTCGGATGGTTTGATACCCTTGCCTGCACACATGCGTTCTTGAGGGTTCTGCGTGGCGAGGCGTTTGACAGCAAGACTTGGTGCAGGTTTCTTTTGGAATTTTTTTTTTTTTTTTTTTTGGTGCTTACGAATCGTTCTGGTTGGTGGTCACGAAAGGAGCTTGACGTCTTATGGTCCCTTCATCTGGTGGATGGTTCTTCCTTCTCTATTTTTGAAACACATCAAGCCCACGATTTATCATGAATGAACACGGGAGTTGTCTGCTTTTGAACTTTCCCAGTTACGAGTTTACGAAGGGGGCTTAGAGCGCGAACGTAACCTTCCTTTTTGGATATCTTGGATAGACAAGCTCTTTTTCTTCTTATCGTTCCTTGTTTGACCTTGACCATGAATGACCATGAATCACCATTGGCCATCGGCCATGAATCATAGGTGGTGACTTGCATCAACCTGACGCATTTCGTGCTTCGAGTCCGGAGGCGATCTCCGAACCTGACGTGTAACCCGCGACAGGGGCACCACAAGGAAACAGGGGGCGCGCATAGTGATGCAGGGATAGCTGTGGTTATGGAATTAGGGCCTTCCCGGAGGGGTTATCATGTACCAGAAATGATGTTGAGATTTTCACAGTTGTAAAACATGATCAACAGAGCAAGTTAAAGCGACAAGCAAGCTTTGAAAAGAGAGGCGATTCAAGACGGCAAAGAAAAAAACAGCTGAGAGGAATGAAGTGAAGACGGATTGCCTGGAGACAGATAATGGTGAAATGGGGGCGAGATTATATAAAATCACGAGCCGTTTCCCAAGGTCAAGGAAGCCCAGATGACCGGATGCAAGGGCGAGCTGGTCCGGTACTTAAGGTTTCGGGATCCGGCAGGTCGCAGATGTCAAGCGCGGCTCATTGTGGTAGATGTACACGTGTACTTGTATGTACACTACTTGATGCATTTTCAGGCCTGTCTCTCTGAATGAATGGCACCCATGAAGGCTGGTCGGCGGTTGTTGTCTGGTGGCTCGCTCTCGTTAACGCAGATTTCCACTACCTCCTTCATTTACATACCTGCCCGGCTCTGATATCATGGAGATGACGAAGGGGAGACGAAGGAGGGGTTTCTCACAGAACCTCTACCTCTTCTATGCAGGAAGCAAGCACATTGCCACCATCGGATTCACGGCATTTCTATCTCGTGTATATCTTCACCCATCCGCGCAAAGAAGAGTTGGACTGAAAAGAAAAAAGGTACCCAAAAAGATCGTCAGGGGTCTAGACTACCAAGAACTCCCTTGCTTCCCTCGTTTCCATTCAACTCCGTCAAAGTCAGGCCTCCCCTGTCCCCTCTTCCAGGTTCTCTTCGGTGAACGGCTCTCAGTGAACAACAAGGCGGGGCTTCAGGTACCTACACCAGCTGGACCATTGTTCTCTCTCATTCAACCAATCAGACTTTGGGAATGACAAAGCCGCCCACTTGCACGAGACAGCATCAAAACCCCTGGTCCACTGTCGACCGTCCAGTGGTGGGCGGGTGGGTGTCGGGCACTGCTGGAGTGCCCGCTGGGGGACGCCTCCCACCACATCCCACAGTAACGTTTCAGATGCTTGCTTGCTTGGGCTTGGGCTTCCTTCTATGTCAGGGGGAAAAAAAAATCTTGGGAGCAACTTTCCATTCTTTCTTTTTGATCAACGACGGACCCACGAGGGACTTGCCACGGCCCTGTTGCCAGTCAAACGGGCAAATATGATTCGACCGGGACCGAGCAACCAACCGGGCAGGCGGGCGACCGACCGACCAGTTTCGTTCGGGCTGAGCCACGCGGGCAACCTTCCTGAATTCGATTGCGGAATGGAACAGAACACCTTGTAGAAGCTCCGAAAGGAAAGTCTCGTATTTTTTTTTATTTCTATCTATGGAAGAATCTGAAAGAGAAAACGGACCGACCGATAGCTTTATATACGAAAGCTGTTGAGAATTTGGAAAGTCTTCCGAGAAGGGCTGTTCCCTGGCTGGCTGGCGGGCTGGCTAGAACGGAGGCGATGCTACTTATGCTTGTCGGAGGCCTCGATGCAAGGTACGCACTGGTCAAGTGACCGCCGTAGACCGCAGACAGAACAGAAGATGAGGATGAGCGTTTGAATTGACGGACGGATTGGACGGATCGGGCAGTCCGTTTGTTTTTGATGTTTCCGTTCGTTCGTTTGTTGCTTATGGCTGGCTGGCTGTCATTCTGAAAAAGTAGTGAATGAATGGCATTTTTGAAGGAGAAAAAAGATTACAGGCCATTCGCCCAAACGGGCAAGGCGGTTTGACCAACCATTACGGAGTCGGGGACTTGGTCGCTGAGAGCCAGCCGTTCGTTCGGTTCGGTTGATTTGTCCCATTTTGCTCGCTTGATTCGTTCCAAGAGATTCGATTCGAGAAATTCGATTTCAAAATAGGGGACTGTGTATGTGTGTGTGTGCGTGGGAGGCAACTCAAACTCGCCTCAAGGAGGCTCGGAGGGGGGATTCCCGGCTTCTTTCTTGTCATGTCGTCTTGTCTTGTCTTGTCTCGTCTGAAGTACACTACACCAAGATTCAAACTCCGACTCCCTCACTAGACGCTGGTGGTACTCAACACTACTGGGAACATATCAGTATCACTAACACTTGGGGGGAAAAAAGCGTCAAAAGTCGTTTCACATACCCGCTGGGGTGAACCCTTCTTTGCTTCCCGCGTTCCGTCTCGTCTTCCATCTGATCGTCCGGTTTTGTCGAAAGAGTTCGGAGAATCTACGACTTCCCTTACACTTTCACTTTTCCACCATTTCTCCATCATCTCCATTCTTTCTCTTCACTTTCAACACATCCAGCTGGCCTGTGCATTTCCTTTTCCCGAAACAGCCCAGCGCAGGTTTCGCTTTTCTTTCTTCTTTTTGCCAAACAGAAGCAAGGCAGGTTCTTAACTTTTGTACGAGTTCTTGCCTATCCATGACGACCTGGACAACATCCTAGAAGCTTTTACTTGTCCCATTCCACGTCGATCATCATCAGACTTGGATCGATCCGATTTCTTGGCTTGGAGACGTGGACCGTGAGCACCTGGACCGCCTGGGCCAATCCACCAAACGAACAATTACCCAGTTCTTCTCATTCTTCGCTGCCCATCCTTCTCTCACTTCCTGCGTTGCTCTGCTCTACCTACTCGCTCCCCTCCTTTGAGCACACAGGGGCCCTATTCCCGTTGAGGAGATCCTTCTTGTTCTTTCACTTCTCCTTCCAGGTTGATCCTCGGCTTTTGTCCATTGCTTGGCCTTGACCATCCAGTCCTTTTTTGACGTCAATCATCGTCGTCGTCGTCGCTTAGGAAGGGGGTTCAAACCAACAAAACAAGCAAGAAACAACTTTGCCTTTGTTTGTCAGTCGCTCACTTTCAACCAATCACCACTTCCACACACATACACCATTCATTGTTTGACTACCGCGACATCTGATCGATACATCCTACACATCGAAATATCATATCCAACTTTCCGAGAACCGGCTTCGAGGATACCACTACTGCACGCCACGGCAATCTTTCGACGGCATACATACATGAGTTAAGGGGGTTTTGGAACGACACCACAATACATCCAACTTTCGACCATTTCGCAGCGCATATTTCTTATCTACAGCATCATCGACGACACAAAATAGAAGGGGAGAAGGAAAAAAGCAATTTGTATACGATACTGGCGAAGAAGAATAGAAGGAACTGAATAGGACATCACCATTCGAACTGAATATATCGACCATTCGTTCATCAACACACACAACAACAAACACCATGATCCGCAGGAAGCGGACGGCCCTTGGGGCCTTCTTCGCCGGGCTCTTCATGGCACAGGGAGTCATGGGCGACGACATTCTCAAGACGGTCGGCTTCAACGTATGCGAGCAGGACGCCCAGGTTTCGGTACAAAGGGCCGATGTCACCTACAACAACGCCGACAGGACGGTTGTTTTCAACGTGGCGGGAACGAGCAACCAAGTACAGAATGTCACCGCTCATCTTTCAGTGACGGCTTACGGGATGAACATCTACGACAACACGTTCAACCCTTGCGATGAGGGTACTTTTGTGAAGCAGCTTTGCCCTGGTATGTGGAAGTTTCCTGGATCAAGCGTTATTGTAGGTGAGATATGCTGACGATCGATAGTCCCCGCTGGTTCCTTTTCCGCTAAAGGATCCCAGGTACTTACTTCAGAGGTAGCCAGCATGATACCGCCGATAGCGTTCCAGATCCCCGATATCGCCGCCATGGCCAAGTTCGAGCTGCTATCCAAGGAGTCTGGACAAAACGTCGCATGCATCCAGTCTGAAGTAACGAACGGCAAAACCGCCGCTGTCCCCGCCGTCTCATATATCGCCGCCGGTGTGGCCGGTGCCGCCCTCATCTTGACCGGTATCTCGGCCGCTGGAGCTGCCGTTGCCGGAAGTAGCGCCGCCGCAGGCTCAGCAGGAGGAGCTGCGAGCAGTGCCGGCGTGGGCACCATCAGCCCTAGCTTCACCGAAGTCTTTGGTCATTTCCAGGGCATGGCCATGAACGGCATGCTGTCCGTCAGCTACCCTCCCGTCTACCGTAACTTCGCCAAGAACTTTGGCTTCTCTACGGGCATCATCCCGTGGGCGGCCATGCAGACCTCCATCGACGACTTCCGCAGCAAGACGGGCGGAAACCTCACTCACAACAGCTTCACATTCCTCCGGGAGAATGCCACGCTCGTCTTTCCCGACAACACCACCACCACGCTTCACGAGAACACGGCTTCTTCCGCGCCCGTCAAGCGCGCCTTCACCGAGTTCATCCGCCTCGCCGCTCGCGAGATCGAGACCAGTGTTAACCTCACGGATTCCAGCGCAGCCAACACCACCGAGTCCGGAAATGGAACCACCACCGCCTCCGACAACACAGACAGTTTCCGCGTCGCCGTCAAGGGCATCCAAAGCTACGTCCAGCAACTCGCCATCCCGTCCGCCAACATGTTCATGACGATCTTGCTCATCGTCGCCATCATCATCGCCGCCATCGTCGTCGGCATCCTGCTGGTGAAGGTTGTCCTCGAGATCTGGGCCCTCTTCGGCTCTTTCCCCGCCAAGCTCTCCGGTTTCCGCAGGAACTACTGGATCTCCATCACACGCACCATCACCTCACTCATCATGCTTCTGTACGGCGTCTGGGTCTTGTATTGCGTCTTCCAGTTCACGCAGGGCGATTCCTGGGCGGCCAAGCTCCTTGCTGGCCTTACCCTCGCGCTCTTCAGCGGTGTTTTGGCCTTCTTCAGCTACAAGATCTGGAGTACCGCGCGGGAGCTCAAGAAGCGCGAAGGCGATGTGGCAGGGCTCTACAATGACAAGAACATCTGGGTCCGGTACTCGCTTTTCTACGAGAGTTACAGGAAGGATTACTGGTGGATTTTCGTGCCGACTATTGTCTACATGTTCAGCAAGTCGGTCGTTCTCGCGGGGGCGGACGGGTCAGGTATGGTGCAGACGATTGCTCAGCTCACTATCGAGGGGCTGATGCTTTGTTTGTTGATCTGGAGCCGGCCGTACGAGAGGAAGAGCGGAAACGTGATCAATATCATGATTCAGACGGTCCGGGTCCTGTCGGTGGTGTGTATCCTGGTGTTTGTCGAGGAGTTTGGCATTGCGCAGACGACGCAGACGGTTACGGGCGTCGTGCTCATTGCGATACAGAGCACGCTGACGGGCATTCTGGCGATTTTGATTGTCTGGAATGCGATCAATGCTCTTTGCAAGGCGAACCCGCATCGGCAGAAGAGAAAGGAGATGGGTATGTTTTCCATTCCCCCCTTTGAGGTATCCTATGATTCGATCACTAACAACCGCACAGAAAAGTTGCAACAGCGCGACACCCTCACTCCCCTCGACGCCCGCAACTCCCTCCTCCTCGGCCGTGCCAAGACCGCCGACTCAACTTCTACCTTCTCGACCCTCGACAAGCCCTACGCGAACCACGACGAAGAAAAAGCCATCCTCGCCTCCCGCGACTCGGCCGCTCCTCCCCTTCCCGACCTCGGCCTCATCCCCGGCCCCAACCAACGCACTTCCACCGCCACCACCACCGCTGGCCCTGGGCCTGACGTCGGTAACAAGGCTGGTTCCAAGCTCGGCAGAATCCAATCCGGCTACACCATGTCCGTCTACTCCGACCACTCCCGCTCCACCACCCCATTCCAATACGACGGTGCCGCCGCGCCACCGATGCCGCAGCAGCCGCAACAGGTCCAACAGCAGTCATCACTAGGCAGGATGGGAAGCCGTGAGCAACTCACTGCCAGTCCCGCGCCCATGGGGATTTCGAATCCGCCCATGAACCCAATGACTCGCCAGCCAACCATGCCCAACGTCGGAGCAGCTGGTACTGGATATCGCGGAATGCCTGCCACAGGTCAGGCACAGGGTCAAGGTCCGAGGCCCGCACGATCTGGGTCCGCACCGGGCTCGGCTCCGGGACAACAAGGAGGTGGATACCAGATGCGGTTCCAGCCGCAACGGCCGCCGAGGTATGGAGCTGGTAGTCAGAGTGCTGGGAGCGCGGTGGGCGGTTATGGACAGCAGCGGCAGAGGCAGATGAGCCAGAGTAGTCAGGGGCAGGGGGGTTACTATGGCCAGCAACAGCAGCAGCAGCAGCAGCGACAGGGAAGCCAGAGTAGCCAGGGGGGTTATTATGGCCAGCAACAGCAGCAGCAGGGTGGAGGACCGGTTTATAGGCCGCAGTATTAATGCAGCAGCCACGGAACCTAGAATGATGGTTAAGGTAGAAGCGGAGGAGATAAAGGCAGGAGAAGAAAAGAGTGTGTAGGATAAGAAAGAAACAGAGGGAAGATTGAAGATTTAATGATGATGGAAAGCGACTACATACCTACCTACCTAGGAAACAAACTTCTGTTTTTGTATTTTTTTTTTTTTTTTTTGCTTTTTTGTCTTTTTTTGAACTCTGATACCAATGTAACTTTTCTAAACCAAGGATATTCTTTTTTAATTTGTGACCAAGCTTATAATCTTCGAGTTTGTTTGTTGAACTCCTTTGTAGTAATCGTTGAGGTAGGTAGAAAGATACCATTCGAGATAGGCATGGAGGGTGCTGGGCTTGAGTACTTGGCTGGAAACACTTTACATACCTAAGACATCATGAAGAGAGCCGGTGCAGAAATTCCAGTCCACGCAGCTCGTCACGTCGTATAACGACATGTTCATCTCGCTTGCGCATAGGTAGGAGGTAGCAACCACCAAAGCACAAGCTGAGCATACCCAGGAAAGCGAAGGTGGAAGCCACCGATTTCTGTGACGACCTGACGTTTCCGCGCTTGATGTCTTGACCGTGATGTATAGCTCGCTCCCGTAAGGCTGCCAAGCTCGAGACTTCATTGCGCATCCTTTTCGTCTGAGCTCAGTCTCTGGATAAAGCCTTCGCTACCGAAGCCCAGACTCGGACATAAATTGGTACGACATCCGTCTCAAAAACCTCCAGATCTACTTCCACGAAGCCCCCCCCCCCCCAAAAAAAGGACAGCGGGTGTCGACGCGGAGGTGCAGCTCGGCGGAGGCTTCTTTGTGCACGACAATAAATTCCGGCAATACACTTTTGAAGTGCCATCAACAGACGTAACGTTCAAGTACATGTATGGTGATGAGGCGGACAGGGAGAAGCTGAAGCCCAAGTCAAAGGGCGGAACCCAGTTCAACTTTGCGTTGGGGCAGGTCCGTGATGTGAGTTTGGATTTTGCAACGCCGGTGAGGAGTCCGTATATGCATTTTGTATTCACGGTCGGGAACCATGTTGAGGTCAAGGACGCGGATAAAATGGAGATCAAGATGAGCTTGTGGGTGAGGACGGGTCATAGGCCCAAAAGATTCAAGGCTGGGTAAGTGGTTGTCTCGCTGTCGGCTTTTCTGTACTTGGTTGACCATCAAGTTGAATTTGTGAGTAAATCCATCGGTAAATAACATATCTCAGTGTGAATGACGAGTGAGATTACGCAAACTGAAGATGGTTTACAAAGTGAAAGTAAGGGTGATGTTTACTTGTACAGTTGACGTTGGCAGCGACAGCGACAGATGCAAGTCCCCACCAAGTGCCAAGTGACCGTCAGCCAGCTGCAATCCCACCCGTCTGGATCCACCCTCCACTTCCATCACACCTTTCATCCAATCACATCCCGCCAGCCGTTTTTCTTTTGCACGCCCATGTACATTTCCCAGCATAATTCACCCCCATCCACACTTCTCACTCGATCCTCCAATTCTCACCAGCTCTTGATCCCGTTAACCCCCGCCATCTCTCATCATGTCACGCAAAAGAAAAGCCGAATCCGGCGAAGTCCTCAAAATCGGCAACAAAACCATCTCCCTCGAAGGCTATCTCACCAAGAAACCAAAAACTGCCAGCACCCCTTCAACCTCGACATCAGACAACAACACCCCAGCACCATCAACCGAAAATGATGCAACAACACCAACAGACCCCAAGGAATTCAAGCCCTCTCGCCCTCTCACAGGAGATCCCTCCCTTTTCGCCACCCGCCGCGCCCTCCCTTTGTACCTCTACCAAGACCGGATCCGCTCCATTCTGTCTAAGAAGGACGTGCTGGTACTAGTGGGTGAGACCGGTTCGGGTAAATCTACACAGGTCCCGCAGTTCTTGTACCAGGAGCGGTGGTGTCAGCGACGGAGGGTCAAGGTCAAGACGAAGGTGTTGGATAAAGAGGGGAATGAGATCCTTGAGGAGGGGGGTAAAGTAAAGACAAGGGAGGAGACGGTCAACGTTGGAGGAGTCATTGCGATTACCCAGCCTAGAAGGGTCGCTGCTACTACGCTTGCGGGACGTGTGGCGAAGGAGTGCGGGACGCCGTTGGATACGAGTGGAAGGGGGACAGGGTTCAAGGGACGGGGACCGAAAGGGAAGGATGGAAAGGGACCGAAAGGTGGGAAGGAGGGAGAGGAGTGGGATGAGGAGAAGGATGTGGTGGAGGAGATGGGTAAGAATAATGGTGGTGATGAAGAGGTGATTGAGGAGAATGGGAACGAGAAGAAGGACAGGAAAGACCAGGAGAAGGGTCTGGTTGGTTATTCAGTCCGTTTCGACCATCGAGTGCCGCCGGGGACGAAGATCAAGTACGTTACGGAGGGTATGTTGCTGCAGGAACTGTTGAGGGACCCGCATCTACGACAGTACTCGGCCATCATTGTGGACGAAATCCACGAACGCAGTGTGGATGTTGATTTGCTGTCTGGTTTCCTCAAGCAGATTGTTACGGGCGACAAGGCCGGTCGTGGAGGGATCCCGCTCAAGGTGGTGGTCATGAGTGCTACAGCACAGGTCGAAAGAATCAAAAAGTTCTTTTCCAGCGACGACAGTCTTAAGAAGGGGACATCCGGGGAAGAAGTGGAATACCTCGAGATCGAAGGCCGACAGTTCCCCGTCGAAGTTATCCACGAGCCCAAACCCGTTCCAGACATCCAGGAGGCACTCCTCAAAACCGTCTTCAAAATTCACACCCAAGAGCCGCTCTCCGACAAACACGGCAAGAAGGACATCCTGTGCTTCCTGACAGGTCAGGAGGAGATTGAGGCTGCCCAGAGACTCATTGAAGAATTCGCCGAAACCCTCGACCCCAAAGTGCCCAAAGTCAAAGTCTTCCCGCTCTTCGGCCAGCTCTCCATGGAAGCCCAGCACGAAGCCTTCCAGCCCATCAAGCACCCCTTCACGCGCAAGATCGTGCTAGCCACCAACATTGCCGAAACCTCCGTCACCGTCCCCGGCGTGCGCTACGTGGTCGACTGCGGCAAAGCCAAAGTCAAACAATACCGTCCCCGTCTCGGCATGGAATCGCTGCTCGCCAAACCCATCTCCAAATCCTCCGCCATCCAACGAACCGGTCGTGCCGGCCGTGAAGGCCCCGGTAAATGCTTCCGTCTCTACACAGCCGACACCTTCGCCACCCTGCCAAAGACGGACCTCCCCGAGATTCTGCGGACCGACGTCCTCGGCGCCGTCCTGACAATGAAAGCCCGCGGCATCGACGACGTGCTCTCTTTTCCCTTGATGGACCGTCCGGAAATTGACGCCGTCGAAAACGCTCTCGTGCACTTACACGTCTTGGGGGCACTAGGCGACGACGGCCGCATCACCGACACAGGCCGCAAAATGGTCTTGTTCCCCGTCACTGCGCCCTACGCGCGCGTCTTGCTCGCGGCCGCTGACCCCCGCTATGACTGCCTTTTGGAAGCCATTGACATCATTTCGTGCATCACAGCTGGCGACGACATCTTCATGCAAGTCCGCTCGGAAAAAGACAAGGAAGCCGTGGACGTGTACAGGAAAGAACTCCAGCGTCGCGAGGGCGATTTAATCACGTACCTGAATACCATGCAACGCTTCGTTTCCACCCCTTCCGCGGATCGCGGAACCTTTTGCAAACAACGCCGGATTAATGTGCGGAATATGCGGCAGGCGCTGAATATCAGGAAACAACTCCGGTCGCTGTCGGTCAAGAATAAGATGCTGGCGGAGTTTCCGATGCCGGATGCGGAGGTGACGTACCAGCCTGTGTCGCCGGAGACGGCAGAGAGGATCCTCAAGGCGTTCTTGAAGGGGTTCGCGATGAAGACGGCGGTGTTAGCGCCTGATGCGAGTTATGTGACTGCCCATGGGAAGCATGTGGTTGCTATTCATCCGAGTAGTAGTTTGCATGGGGTCAAGAGGGAGGCGATCATGTTTTTGGAGCATGTGTATACGCAAAAGAATTATGCAAAGAAGGTGAGCGCCATTCAGGCGGGGTGGATTGCTGAGGCGTTGGCTGCCTAACCTGAACGTGTGTTCTAGTGGGTAGCAGGGTTTATTATGGCCAGAGATGTGAAAATGGTGGTCAAGTGGTAGAGAAGGTGTGAGGTATAGATACCCTAGATAGAGGTGCTGAATGCATGTACTTAAGTCTACACTGAGCATCAAATCTGTTCGTCACTGAACATAATCCACGGTGAAAGTGGCCTGTTGATGATTTGTTTACATCGCGATACTCTCCTTGGTGTAGTCTATCTCAGTCCTCGAAAAAGTGGACCTTGACCCACCGTCTCCGGTCTTGGCACTTGTCATCACCAAGCGCTCCAGTCTCCAACCGTCGGGGGCGTTCGGCAAATCCGGCATTCCGCCCGGACCGTCACTCAACGCCGCGCCGTTCATTGCAGTGTATCAGCCGCCCCGTCTCCGTCGCCGCACCCATTAACCACCATCACCACCAGCTTCATCTCCCTCCCTCTTTTTTTCTCCCCTCTCTTTTACCAGCTTTTTCTCCCCATTCACCCCCCCCCTTCTCCCCCCCCATCCCCCCTCCTCCCCCGTCTTTCCTCCACTTCTTTTCTCTTTTATCTTTCTCTACCCTTTTTTCACTGGCCATCCACCCCAAACAAAATCGAAGAGGAATTTCAGAATGTACGCCCTCACCCCAACCCTCCGCCGCTCCGCCGCAGCCCTCACCCACTCCAAAAACCACGGCATGACGCCCGGCCCGCTCGCTCTCCTACCGCCCATTTATCTTTATCGACGACTCCTTCGCGCGCACAGAAAATACTTGCCGCGCGAGATGAGGCTGTTGGGGGATGAGTATGTCAAGGCCGAGTTTCGGGCGCATCGGAGTGTGGATAATCCGGCGCATTTGGTGAGTTTTATGCATTTCTTTCTTTTTATACATTTGAGGTTCTGGATGTGGGGTGGGATGGGCTGTGGGGTGGGATACAGTGGGATGGGATGTTTGGAGGGGGTGGATGGGATGGATGGATGGGATGAGTAGGGATGGGATGGGATGGGACGTGGAGGGTCAAAGGGGGGCCAAGGTGAGGGTTGAGAAGGTAGTAATAAGGGGCGTGGGGGAAGGTATTGGGACGTTGGAAGTGAGGAGTGGGAAGGAAGTGGCAAGTGAAGTGAAGGTGAAGAAGCTCTAAGGGATGATGAAAAGGTGGTGAAGTGACTGATGAAGTACACAACGCAAACCAGAGGGGAGAAGAGGGGGAAGTGAAGATTGCGGAGGTTATGCACTGGAAATTCCTGGTGGGAGCATATGACAGGGACTGAAAAGGAGGGCGATAAGGAGAGAGAAAGTGATGGAAGTGAGGAAAGTGGGAGCGGTGATACAGCCGATGGGAAATGAAGACCGAACAGCAAGGGATGAGATTTGTCGGAATACGAGGGCCGAACTGGAAAAACAAATACCGAAAGCCTGGGGTAAACGGAGGAAGCTACGGCAGGAGAATGACAACAGAGTACGCTTAAGAGAGCAACTCGGTTGAACGGCATGAAGGAAAGGGATGAAAAGGAGGACAGCGTCGACAGCAGACTGGAACCGTGGTCATTGAGCAGGAGCAAATTCTCTTCAAAAGCATAGACTAACACAAACACCCACCTCACAGATCGGCTTTTTAACAGAGTGGCAACTCTACGCCCAAAAAATCGAAGGAAACTCGTGGGTAGGCGAGAAGTTGGATAAGGGCAAGGTTGAAAAGATGAGCGGTGCGTATTCCTCCCTTTCCCAATTTCCTCGTGCTCGGTCACTAACATGAACATGACAGACGAGCAAATCGGTCAACTATACGAGCTCATGCAAGCCATCCAAAAGCGCGGAACCGAAGGAGATCTTGAGGACGGTGACGGTGGAGAGTCTGGACAAAAGTCGCAATGATCGCTGTAATTAAAGGTTTATGTTTCGATAAGTGTACGGCTTGCTTCTGTTCTTTGTGTTCAAGTAACTGTACAACTAAGCTATCTAAATCAAACGCTTATGAGGAACTCAAGTACACGAGATGTCTGTGACAAGACAACCCCTGGAAGACAAATTCGCTCAATAGTCAAAGAATGTACTCTTTCTCCCAAAAAGTAACCACCATCTCTACCTTGACCTGTCCCTCTTTTCGGAACACCCTCCTTCCTGCCTTTGCAATGACCAGCCCTCGAGGACTGGGACCGCTCTGTCCTAGAAATTGACGGCGACGGAGGCTCTGTAAAAAATGGAAAGCCTTTTTCGAACGCGGGAGGAGGGAATTGGTGTGATCGATCGTGCAGAGCCATGGGGGTTTGTCATCCTCAGAAAATCGTAGTTCTAAAGGCAGTGGTTTGGAAAATCTAGGGTCCAGTCCCCACATCTCAAGCCAGCCGAGCACGGCGGGAAGGACGGTATAGCTAGCGACGGGGAGAATGGGGATCGAAGAGAGATCCGGTGCAGTTGAGTTAATGAGCCTGTGGGATCGTGGTTGATTAGCTGGGGTCTTATCTCTTATGTTGCTGTCAATCGTAAGAAGCCATGTTGGAACAAAAAAGGAGGGACCGAGTACGTGCCCGAATAAAAGTTCAGTGAAAGCTCTCATGCCCGTCATTCTGCTGTCTTTGTCATCCTCGAGGCAGATGATGATTACCGGCCTGGGGGACCGTTGCCTGTTGGCACGGAAGGCTTGATCGGCAACTACAATCCGTTCAAGTGAATGCTTGAGCCGAGTTTCTGCGGAAAGTAAAAAGATGGAGAAAACCCGATAGTCGCTTTGTTTAGGCTGAGAGGGCTCTCGAAAAGAGTAATCGCTGTCTTTAGGGCCCTGAAGGCCGATGTCGTGAAATATGTCATCGGTCTCTGTGAAGCTTGTGAGTACCACTGGTTGATGGTCGCTAATGTGAAGACTGAATACCTACGTTCCTAGCGTTCTCCGTGGACAGCAAGGACCTGTTTCATGGCCTCGTGCCATTCCGTTTTCATTCGACCGTACGCGCCAAACACGTGCTTGAGCTGATGGGCTGTCTTCACATTCGGCTTGGACGCAATCTTGGAGTCTGTGGGGGTACTGGTAGGTGCGGACGATGGCTTAGTCGGTGGGACGGAGCTCTTGTCATCGGCCACAGCTTGCGCAGGTTGCTCCTGTGGGGGTTCCTCTGACTTGGACGATATGCTAGTTGGGTTTGTAGCAGAGTGGTCTGATGAGTCCGACTGCTCTGCCGAGTCAGACACCTCTACCTCTAATATAGTTGGTAACTTGCTATCGAAAGACATTGTGGAGATGGAAAAGAAAAGAGTAAGATAGAGCGAGAGTTGGTGATGGGAAGAGGGTGAGATGAAGAGTGGTGTGGTTTGTTATCCAATGAAAAGGGTATCGTCTAGCTTTAAGTACTGTAGGTATCTGGTATGCTGTCTAAGATGCTCCTCCTGTATTGTAGTCCGCCGTGCCTGCCGTGTCAGTTGTGATGAGAAACTGCTGGATGTTTCCGAGGCCCTTTGGTCGTCGCTCCTCCCTTGGATCGGCCGTGTTGCCTGGAGCGCAAGAGGATCCGGGTACGTCTTTCTTTATAGCCCGTCCCTCACCATCGAGGGTCACAAGTCGTACTTAGAAGCCCAACTTCCCGGTCAGTCCCGAGAATACCCTCGTAAGAACAAAGCCCTCGTCCGACTCATCTGCAGAGCCTGCCACTGACGGCGGATAGATGGGCTTCTTGGTCCTTGGGTCCTTGTATGCCCTCAGCGCATCCTCAATAGCCTGCAACCTCGCCTGCCTCTCCTCGTCCCTCTTGAAGAACTCGTCCTCCCTCTTCTTTCCCTCCTCCAACTGCTTCTCCAAATCCTTTATCCTCTGCACATTTGGATCGGGCTTTGACGAGGACCGATAGTACTCGTAGAGCAGCAGGGCGCTGGCAATGGTCAAGATAAAGGCGTCCCCAATGACATCGGCAAACAGGTCGACGGCCTTGGGCTCGGGCAAGGGCCTGAACTTGCGCTTCCATATGCTCTTGGGAGGCTCCCTGACGGCATGCGACTCCTTTGGTATGACACCGTACTTGGCTTTGAGTTCCAACTCTTTGCGCACTTGCTCTTCTGTCTTGACGGTGGGCGCTTCGGCTTTCTCTTTGGCTTCCTTTGCGCGCAGCTCGGCGTCGGAGTTTCGAAGGGCGAGGACGGACAGGCGCATGTTGAGCTGGTGCATCATCTGGCCATACTTGGCGGCAAAGGCGCGGAATTTGGGGTGTTCATGGGCTTGGTGCTTGATGTGGTTCTGGGTGAAGAAGAAGAAGAAGCATGTCAGGTTACTTGGTTACCCATGACAAGGAGAAGGGAAGGATAGAGGGAGGACATACGGCGCCATACTTGGAGATATGCCGCACAAAGAGGGCGGCAAGCTTAAAGAGAGGAAGGGAGACCATGGTGATGTCTGAGGTGAGGTGTTGCCAAGGAGGTAAGACCTAACCTCTAACCAGGGAAAACCGCTGGTCGGTCGTTGCCGCCGTTGGTGGGTGAGTTGGCGATGCCGAGGTTCCGCGAATTGGGACGAATTGGGAGTTTGGCCAAGGAGCCAACGAGTGGAAGAGGTTGTTTGCCAAGTGATGGCTGTTGTCCAAGTTCACAGAAAAACCTGGAGTAGGTCACAATGGTTTCTATACTACAGGCGCATGTGACGAGACATTGAAGGAGAGTGCCGGGTAGGTAATCTTTAAAGTTCGGATGACGGACAATTCCAGCATCCCAGGACTTCCGTCATCCTCCATATCGATAAGCTCCATTGACTGTGACAAGCAGCTGCCTGATTGGATTGATTGGCGTGAACAGCACCCTAACGTCGAGTCAAGATGCCGCTAACCAGCCAGCTCAGCACAGCACCCCACTGAACCGGGCGAGTCAGGCCCCCTGGTCTACCTGTGGGCGCCCTGCGGTGCTGGCTTGGCAAGCGACAGTGGAGGTTCAGGTCCCTTTGGCTGCAGTGGGCTGGAGAGGGTCCCCGCCGTTGCCCTGGCGACTTGACTGGCAAAGGGACAAACAAAACGAAAGGTCTCCAGCTCCATGCTTGCCAATTTTGGACGGTGGATTCATTCCAAAGCAACAACCAACTTCCGTTTTGCAATTCAATCAACACAACGAACTGAACTCAGCGTCCTTCTTTTCCACTTTCCACCTTCCCTTGATCTCTCCACTTTTGCAACAAAGTCGTCACCATCCTGGTTTGATTTATTTGCAAGGTACCGCACTGTACCGTACCTTGGCTACAGTAGTGCGTTTGGACACTGCGCGCAGCCTGGGAAACCAAGTGGATGAATTACTACCGACCTTCGTTTTCGTCGTCACCAATTATTCCGTCCTCCGACCCTCTCCCAGCGCGACAGCCGAGTCAATCCGCGCTGAATCATATCATCAATCGACGACGAACATCTTCATGATACTACCTGGCTTAGCTTACCTCTACATACGTCGGATCCCAGGCCGCCGAGCAGTGCTTGACCATCACTAGTCCCACTGTGAGTTTTTGCTTCTTCCAAACAGACAATTGGCGCTTCCTAGGTCTTCGTCCCTTTCCACTCTGTTTCACCCCCTTGCTTTGTTTACTTTGTGTCTCTAACCAAGGTGGAACCTCCACTCCTTAGACCTTTCAGATAATTCACAGCATTGAATGACCCGACGAACAGGACGAGACTCCCCGCCAACGACCCCGACGTCAAACTCGACGACTTCCTAATAATACATACCCGATCGATCGACCTGTGATCCTCGAGGCGCTCGAGAAAGTCGTGGGAATGAGAGGTGTCGGTATGGACGCCCTATACCCCAGAGATGTTAACGCCCCGGCGAGACCGAGAGCCCATGAGCTAAAGTCCAAGGCAGCTGCTGGGCTCAAGGCTTCCAAGGACAAAGACCACCCGCCGCCCCCGCCGAACCATGTCAACGAACCCCCCAGCTCCGACCGCAAAGAGGGCGCCATCTACCAGGTCGGCAAGCCCCTAGGAAAGGGCGGCTTCGCTATCTGCTACGACGGCAAGCTGATCGGAAGCTCCAAGCGATATGCCCTCAAGATCGTCAAGGCCCAGATGGCCTCCAAAATGGAGCAGAAATTCCAGACCGAGCTCCAGATCCACTCCAAAATGCGACATGTGAACATTGTCCAGTTCCACCGCGCCTTTACCTTTGAAAACTGCACCTATCTGGTTCTCGAACTATGCTCCAATGGCTCTCTCATGGACATGGTCAAGCGCCGCAAAGGCTTGACAGAACCCGAGGTGCGCTTCTACACCGTCCAGATTGCTGGCGCCATCAAGTACATGCACGCCAAGGGCATCATCCACCGCGATCTCAAGATGGGCAACATCTTTCTCGACAAGTACATGAACGCCAAGATTGGTGACTTTGGCCTGGCTGCCTTGCTCCTCACCGGGAAGGATATGCAGATCATGAGGAGGACGACCCTATGCGGAACACCCAACTACATTGCACCCGAGATTCTCGAAAAGGGAAAGAAGGGCCATGACCACATGGTGGACATTTGGAGTCTGGGTATTATAGTCTACGCTATGCTCACCTCGAAACCACCTTTCCAGTCTTCCACGACCGACGAAATCTACCGCCGCGCGAGAGAACGTGATTACGAGTGGCCGTCGCCCGATGCTACACAAAAGTACTACAGCCTGGAGGCCAAGGATCTTGTTGCAAGCATGCTGCAAGACGCAGACATGAGACCGGATCCTGATACCATCGTCTCTCATCCCTTCTTTACCTCTGGCTACATGCCCGTACCTTCCGACATTTCGTCCAGACTCCGAGACTCCCCACCACAGAATCCCGCCTTCTACGATCCTCTGTCCGGTCCTCAAGCGGAAGCAGACAACCTCCGCAATGTGCAAGAGATGTGCAAGGAGTGCAGTGTGGGTCCATGGTGCACACAGCAGTTTGTCTTCAAGAACATTTGGCGAGAGATGGCAGAGGAGGAGGCAAACGGCCTTACCCCTGTTATTCCGCTCGCCGAGGGTATCGTCTACAGGCCCTACGACGAGATCAAGACCGAGGCGAGACGTCGGGCTCGTCTATTACAGCAGCAGCAAGCCGAACAGCAAGCCTCTAAGCTGACGTTGTCACAACAACCCCAGAAGCGCGTCCCGTTAGCGGACATCGGCGGAAGCAGGATGGAGGGAGTAATACATTCACAGCCTCAAAAGCCGGTTGTGGATGACCTGAGCAACAGTCTCGCCCAGGCGAGCATCGCTAACAGGGGCACCACAGGACTTCTCCGTGTCCCACCCCAGAGTTTTGCGGCTCAACAAAGGGCCCAAGGCCGCCCTCTCGCTACGGTCAGCAGCTTAGGTCGGTCGCAGACAGTTCCAGAGCCGGCGCTCAGAAGTGCTAGCTCTACTTCGTTACGCACCCGGTCTAGCAGGCGGGAAGTGCCCGAGACCGCTCCTGATGCATTAGGATCCCAGCCAATTCGACCCACGACCCGTAGCACTCGCAGCTACCCAACAACCAGAAGCCAGGCCGCGGTGTTGCCAGCTGAAGAGCCCGCTCCTATCCAGCGGAGTGTACCAATCTCGACATCGCAAAAGCCTCAAGAGGACAAGCTGAGTCTCTTCAGTCCTGCCGAGTATCAAGAGGCAGTACCAGGGACGCAGCCTGACATCGTCCTTGAGAGGCTTCGCAGACTGCAGGCAGAGCTGGAACGGGCATTGAACGCCCGCTCAATGGCTCTTGTGTCGTCCCGGGACAAGACTCCATCACCTCCTCACATCGTAGTCAAGTGGGTTGATTACACCAACAAGTTTGGTTTGGGCTACATCTTGAATGATGGCAGTGTCGGTTGCATTCTTCGTAGCATCCCTACCCAGGAGGGTAGCCGAAGTGGTTTGCTACCACCTGCTTGCGTGCTCGTCCATGGTGCTGAACGTCACTGCCAGCGCAGAGACGACCCTAGGTATCCAGACAGGCATCAAATCCTGCCCCAAAATGAGGGCGTATACTTTTACGAAAACAATGGCGAGGACGGCATCAACCGTGTTCGGGTCTCGCCCCAGAACTTTCATATCCCAGTCAACCCCGATGGCACTACGGGTAAGCTTACGGCGGGCAAGGATATCTACGACCACCGAAAGAGGGAGCGGATTGTGTTGTGGAAGAAGTTTGCCAATTACATGATTCAGTATGGCCGAGAGTCGGACAATCAGGATGATGCGCCAATTCGGATGCCGACCATTACGGACCCGACTGTTGCGCCGAGTGATGTCGTGACGTTTTACCAGAGGTTCGGTGACGTTGGGTGCTGGATGTTTTGCGATGGTCATTTCCAGGTATGTTGCCCTCCCCTTTCCTTCTCTGCTGAAATCCAGCTAATAGTAATAATAGTTCAACTTCCCCGACCACACCAAAATCGTCCTTGACTCCACCGGCACCTTCTGCCACTTCTGGCACCTCCCCGAGTCCGCCGCCACCCACCTCTCCAAAACCGGCTCCCTCTCCGAATCCGCCCTCGACGAGCGTTCCGTCCTCTCCTACCCCTTACAAACCCTCCTCAACTTTTCGTCCCCGTCCCGCTCTACTATCACCAGCACCTCCACCTCCCGCCGTCGCCCCGAAATTCCCGCTGCGTTGCAGAACATTCCCTCCGCCAACCAGTTCCGCGAGAAGATCACGTTCATCCGAGACGTAATCAAGGAGTGGTCCGCCAACGGAGGACTGGGAAACAGTGACATGTCACGCGAGAAGAGAATAAGGTGGACGGGCTGCAGAGAGACGAGGAACGCCACGGGCCCGATGAAGCATGTCTGGGTCACGATTGGAGCGAGGTGGGGTGATTCGAGACTCAGTGCGTATGTGGATCCGAGGAGGCCCGACGAGTTGGGGGAGGAAGTCGATGAGAATGCGAAGAAGAGGTGAACCCCATGACATGATAAGGGGTATGGTGGGTGATAGGCTGGAGAGGATGATTGGCAGAAAAGAGGAGAATGGTGGCTTATCTGTTCAAGGGACGGGGAGGGGAAAAAAACAAAAAAACGGGAGATGACATTATACTCACAACCACAACGACGCAACGTACGTACGTACGTATGAATTCACGCATGCATCATCTCGCCTTTTTTTCATAGGGGCGTATCTTTACTACTTTTCATAAAGGGGGGGCGGCGTTGTCTTTTTTTCTCTTCTTCTTCTTCTTTTCCCATCACTATCTACTTCTAGGTACGGACGGAGGAGGTTTCAATTGTCGGAGTAACTTGTACCGGACTACTTACTGGTTCTGGTTGGTGGTATGGAAGTGGCATCCATCACGTATAAGGGAAGTGAGCGTTGGGCCATTGATTGGAGCCTGTCTGGAATGTTTCGAGTGTTTGTAGAAAAGGTACAATGTACATATTATGATTTCTCCAAACTCTTTTTACCAAGTCTTGTCTTTTGTGTCTTTCTTGTCTTGAGAAGTAGGTGATGAATAATGCAAAGTTATGATCAAGAGCGAAGAGAGACTTATCGTAGGCAATGTTAAGTTAAAGCACAGTGAAAGCGAACTGGTGGTGAAGTTCCCACAAGTGATTACTCTTCTCGCCAGTTTTCTCACCTCATGTTCCACTGAAAACCTAACCTACAGTAAGTAGTAAGTCTCATATGATGGTAGGTAGCCAAAGAACAAAAAACAATAAGCAACTCTTTTATAAAAAATAAAAAAAATAGTCACGCAACAGACATACACACACCGGCTACTACCTGATACATGGATAAAAGTCTCTCTCATACCCCCTTTCTCCCTTTCTTCTTCTATTCACAAAGTTCGTCACACGCTAAAGAAAGGAATACTCTGCGTATGGATTGATTTTGTATTATTCATTCATTGGTGTATCTGCCTGCCTGCCTACTAGAACAAAGCCCCCCCTCCAAAAAAAAGAGTCATGTACGCATCATATCGTCCATTTCTGTTCCATCTTCTCTCATGCTCGTAGGGTATTGATGTTGGTAACCGTAAAGTCTCAGGGTCTCCCATAAACCAGAAACTTCAAAGTCAAACGACTTTCCTCATTTCGAAGAACGAACTTCCCTCTCCACAGGCCAAGGACCCCTTTTCTCCTATTCCTTGAGGCTCTGTTATTCAAAGGTAGGCTTTCTCCAAACATGGGACTCCAGGAGCAGTGTGGTCGACATCCCTCCTCCTCGAGAAAGTGAAATAAAAACAAAAACGAAAACAGCAGGTGATATCAAGTGCGAGAAAACAAAATGACGACAGTATACTAAACAGAAACCCTCAAGTTCCCACTCTTCTCCTTCACAAATAGGACCACTCAAAAGTCCCAAAAGTTGTCAGACTTCAAGGTCTGCTTCTTGCCGGGATTTCGGTTTTGGAGGTGCATGTCCTGAGGTTCCTCCTCCTCAGTAAGCCAGTTACGCTGCGTTCCCTTCTTGCCGCCCATGCCATCTCCGGCAATAGTGATGCCCTTGTTGACAGCAGTGCTAGCCTCAAATCCCTTTCTGCTGCCCATACCATCACCTGCAATGGTAATGCCCGTGTTGGAATTCTCCTTTCTCTGTACGGGCGATTCGTCCTCGATGGACCAGTGACTTTCCAATCCACGTTGGGCCGCTTGGCGATTCTCGCTGGCCTTGGAGCGACCGTTGGCACCCTTCTCAGCCCGAGGGGATTCGTCCGAGATCTCAAAGTGAGGCTCAAAGTGCTTCTCCCTGTTCTTGGCGTTGGTGATGTTGCTCAGCGGACGAGGCGCAGGTGATGGCGCACTACCATCAGCCTTAATGAGGTCGTCGTCATACAAGTGCGACGCTGCGTTTGTGCCAGCGCCGCGGTTGCTCTTCTCAACCGGCGATGGCGCACTGCCATCAGCTTTCAAGAGGTTGTCGTCATACAAGTGGGAGGCCGCGTTGGTGCCAGCGCCGCGGTTGTTCTTCTGAATCTCGGGAGATGGGCCGTCGTTGCCAACACTAAAGTGAGTCTCGTCATCACGGCGTAGCTTACGCGGTGGTGCCTTGTTTTGCGGAGTCGAAGGGCCTTGGTGATCTTCGTCGTCAACGCTGCCAAGGAAACTTTTGACAATGGTACGGGTAGGAGCTGGCCTCTCGGGGGTGGTAAAGTCATCGAAAGACCACTGGCTGTCATGCTTGGTCTTGGGCTTCTTGTCGAAGGGAACACCAGGCTGGGGTGCGTCGGCGGGATCGGAACCGTCGGCAAAGTCGAAGTGCTTGTACTTTGTCGGATCGGGCTTCACCTTGCGCTGAACCGAGTAGATTGACTGAGGTGTATCGGGTACTTCGGGCATATTCTCATCCGTCTCAAAGAGACGGATGGGCTGGAAGTGCTTCGAGGCACCAGCCTTGGGGGCGACGCCGGGAGTCATGGAGCGACTGCGGTCAGTAGTGGGCGAGGTGGGGTCCTCAACTGGCTCATCTCCAAGAATCTCCTCAAACGTGCGTTGGCGTGGCTTGCTTCCAGCATAGGGAGAGACAACGGGCTCTGGTGGGGTTGCGACCTCTTCACGAGAAGCGAACAGAGAAAGTGACGCATGAGGATCGCGCATGGCGTTGGTGACCTTGGGACGGGTGCTCGTGGAGCCTTGGTTATCGGTAGCTGGAGTGCCGCCTTCCTTGATGCATCTTGTGATGAGGCTGATCTGATCCTTGCTGTCGCGAATTGGCCAGTTGCGACCGGACCTACCAATAACCTCGACTTGCTTAAGAAGCGAGCCTTGGTCCCAGCTCTGTCGGATTTGTGTAATCTTGCCGTCGCTGTTGAAGGTTACGATGTGGAACTGTCAAGCCACAGGGTTAGCACTTGGCTGAAACTTATGAAGGGGAAGTTTGGGTAACTCACAATAGTAAAGTTGACCTTGCGATCGGCAACGTAGTTATCTTCCAGACCAGGGAGGTAGGGGCCTCCGGTAATGAGGAACTCGAGAGAGGTGTTGACTTCTAGGGCGAGGGCATCTTGGCCTTCAATGGCATAGAGGACAGTTTCCTTCTCCTTCTTCACCTGGCTGGCGACGGTCGAGAGATGCTTGGTGATATTGGATGCGCCGGCAACGCTGGTGGTGGTTGTGATGTAGTGTAGAGAGGCGTCGTCCGAGAGCGCCGCGGCGTTTGGCGAACCGAGGAACCTCTTGTATGTGTCTTGCAATGACATGGCTGCAGTTGGCAATGTTGAGTCTTGCTGAGGAAAGGATAAAAACGCGACGATGTTTTGATCCAGTGCGATGCGCAGAGATAGCTATGATAGTATCTTGAGGCGGGGGTTTGGATAACAGAAGCTAACCAAGAAAGCAAGGACCTTGGTCAAAAGCTCTGTTTGTCGACGCGGAGAGAGAGGGGAGAATGGAGATTTTGACGAATGTCAACAAGAAGTTGGAGAGCTCCGCGAATCAATCAAAGGGAGAAAGTGAAACCAGAAAAACAAAGCTGGAGCAGGTGCAAAGGGAATAAACTGAGGAAGTGAAGGATGGAAGAGAGGGCAACCTCAATGCAAAGGTTGGCAGGGATGGGATGCATAGGTAGGGGTCCACCATGGCAGTCCACTTTCCACTTTCGCTCCCTTTGCTGGGAGCTTGGGTCCGAAGGCGCAGACAACACCTCACTATCTTATCTGCTCGTTCATGACCAAGGTAGGTAGTGTATGGACATTGGACATGAGGGAAATTCCACTTGAAATCAGCAATCTCTACTAAACAAGATTCGATGGAAAAGCAAGCTGCTTGTGGTGGTGGTGAATGTCAAGTTGAAACGACCTTGGTGTTGACCACACAAAGTCGAGATATATTTCTTTCCCAATCAGAATCACATTTCTCACAACGCATCTGCTAGTGATCACGCAGGCACAGGCAACATGCTTGTGAGCTCTCGTGCTGCATTAGTAAGTAGCGCACGAGGTTCCTTGATTGGACGCCCTAGCAACACTCCCTCTGCACTATTATGTCAGTTCCTTTTGAGACTCAGTACACAGATAAACACCGGACAACCCATGTCGAAGTCGGTGATCATGTTCAACAGATCTTTGTGATTGTGGAACAAAACAGACGTATCATGGTGTTATCACTCACACGGAGAGCCGGGCAACGGATTCCCTTGATAGCGGTACGTAGGTACTCGGAGAGCCTGGAGTTGCGGGGTTGCACGACCCCATGTGCTCAAGTCGCATTAAACTGCAAGGAAGAGCTCCATAGGTGGTGTTTCAGAGGGGCAGGGGTTGGGGTTTTGGAGTAGGAATACGCTATATCCGATTTTGTTGATGGTGAGTCCATTGCCACTCAACGGTGACCCTCCATCGTATCCTCTTTTTTTTGTTTCAACTTCAACATCACGAGCTGCCTAGATCACAACGAAGTCCAGAACATCTCACCACCATCCTGTGCTTCAACATCCAGAACCCCCAATTTGTCTGACGGACCCTTTACCGAATGATTTCCCGTCAACCATGGACTATGAATGGAACCCCGAGCCGCAATAAGCAACTCGACACCGTTCCACTTGACGACATCGTCTCCCACACCACCGACTGGCCTGTTAAAGACATACCAACCAGAAATCCAAAGTGCTGATTGGACCAATGCTCGCTCAATCTACTGAATGGCGGGAAAAAGGCGGTATCATCGGTCTCTGGTTACCACGAATCACAGTGACCCTCATGGGGCATAGTCAGCGTCGCTCTAGCCAAATAGTTCGTTTCAGGTGAATATGTCAGCTCTACCGTGCCAAACCGTCCCCGTTGTCCGCTTCTGGTTCGTCAGATCAAGCAGCCTTGCGAGACACGCTCTTTGTGAAGCCACCTGAACCGTACCTATGCTGTGCCACCTTACGGTTTGCTCTTGATACCGCTTGTGTTGCCAGCAAACCATCCGGGAACCACTCCCGGTTGGAACGAAGCCTTGTTCTAGCACACATCACGGGATGGATCTGGTGATCAAGTCCCAAAACTAGTTGATTGCTGGGTTTGCACATAGTGGGACACTTGCGATATCCGCATATACTTATATCATCGCTGTTACACTGAGGTTTATTTTCGCTCTTTTTCTTCTTGCCTCTTTTCGCTTCCACCAAGCGAGCTTATTCTTGGAAACCCACCCCATGTTCTAATCTTAATACCCGATTCGGTCACCTTCAAATATCTATCCTGAGATATCCTTCACCTCCTTTCACCAACAACCACAGACTACCTACGCGAGAAGCAACATGCTGGTCCCACTAATGTTCTTGCCCGACCTGGAGGGAACCTCCAAGACACCGGAATGTCGTTCCAAGACAAGGCTCAAGCCACAGCTACACACCCAGAAAAACCACAACTGCTACAATGGCACCCGAACACTGCCGATAGCCACTCTTGTTCGACCTCAGGACAACTCCACGCCAGACTCGGATTCCCAACCCCAGCGCGAGGACAAGCCCAAGTCAGAATCCAAAAACCATAAAGACGAGTCTCCGCTTTACGAAATCACCCTCTACTACCCTCACAACCGCGCCTGCACAATATATCGCTCCAGGGAGGACTTTTGGCTCTTGAGAACAGGCCTTTTGTCAAGCTCGTCGTCCACCGCACCACAGCCGCTCACAACACTACCGACCGAGAACAGAGAAGAGAGCGAAGGAGACTCAGAAGATGTCGACAAATGGGATGCAATGCTGAAGGAGGCATTAAAGAGATTCAAAAAGAGTGGCCATGGCCGTCACTCGGTTGAATGGTTCTTGAGGCGGCGGTTAGGGGACTGTGAGCGGATGGCGAGTGGAAAAGGCACAGGACTACCGACTGGGACGACAAGACGAGTGAGGATCAAGAAACCCAGGAACATGGACGATATGAAAACAACGGATGAAAGAGCAGGAATGCAAGGGTACCTAGTAGATTTTATGGCCAAATTGGACGAAAAAGTCGCGGTCAGGGACGGAGTATGTCTACATGAGAAAGATACGGAGGAAGAGGATGACGTGATATCGAGAGAGAGTTGGACAGATGATGAAAGGGGGAATGTCAAAGACGAATCAGTCAAGGACGAGGGGAAGCGCAATAATAACGGCAGACAGCCAGATCGAGAACGGGACGAAGCCAACGACAACACGACCGAGGTCCCGACGGCAGAAGAAACCAAGGAGAGACAGTCTAATGGTACAGAGGTTGTGATAGGTCTGGACATGATCTCAATCTCTCATTCCAAGCCTCTTCCCGACCTCAGCAAACTTGAAGGACAGTCCATTGCCGCTAGGAGGAAAAGCAGGCAAATGATTGATAAGACAGGACCCTTGGACCAGAAGACAGTACCCAGTACTGAGGGAACCCTTCAAAGAAACATGGATAATGTCGAGACGTCAAAATTGAACTCGGAATCGGCGGTGGGGGTTGACACAGACGAGGACTCGTCATCCGACGGCACAACGGTGCTTACACCAACGTCAAGTAGCGCTGGTGAAATGTCGCCGGGCGATCCACCTCCCAATGAGGCTCACATGTACAAGTTTATGTACTCCCCAAGAGCCTCAGATTCCGACTGGGGTCCTGAAGATTCTCAGTCTTCACCAACAAAATGACTTGGCACTTACACACTCTGGTGGTAGCGATTATTGGCGTAATTTGACCGGAGCTCGATGGGGGAAAGGAAAGGCACCATTTGCAACTCGAAGGCTGCTATAGTTTGATAACTCAATGATATCACAGGATGTAACAATCATGAAGTCTAAACCTAAGCCTCAAGCCACGATACGCTGCCGTCGTTCTTATGCCCGCCGTGTTGCTGTTTACATGAACTCAGGGGCACCCCAATAAGACCCCTGCACCAACTGTTAAAGTTGTAGGGGACGCAGCGGACATGAACGTCACTAAAAGCGGGATGGACCGCCCTCCACTGGATGATCGCCGTAACAGCCCGCCGAGCCCCTAAAAATCCGGGGTGGGATCTGCCCCGCGTTCGAGGCCTGAAGGGAATTTCCACACCTGAGATGGAAATCCCCGTCACGAAAAATGCGACAACTCTTTGATCTTCTCCTCCTCCCTCCCTCCTCCCTCTTCAACCACCCATTGCGCCCACCGCACAGCTCAATTCACCGCAACTCACCTCCAATTCACAAGCCATAATGGACATTGACGACATCCTCCGCGAAGTTGATCCCGTCTTGCACCAGATCCCGCAGGAAACGCGCGACCTGCAAGACCTGACGCGCGCCTGGGTCGCCGAGCGCTCGACACCCGAACTGCTTCCCTGGCCCTCCAACGGGCTGTTCGAGCGCATCAACGACAAGATCAAGCGGCAGATAGAAAAAGTGGAGGAGATGACGGGCGACATGGACCCCAAGACCAATTTCGCCCTGATTGTCATCCAGACCGAGTTGGAAAGGTTCAAGTACTTGGTCAGGTCGTTTTTGAGGACGAGGATTGCAAAGGTATGCCCCCCCACGAAGCTCTTTACTTGCTAGGTAACTCAGGAGAATACTGACACCTGAGAATTGGGTAGATCGACAAACACCTCCTCCACTACATCTCCAACGATAACCTCCGAACACGCATGTCGCAAATCGAAGAGGCGTACGCGCGAAGACACCAGCTTTTGTTGCACAACCACTACCTTAACTCTTTCCTGGGGACGTTCCCGCCCGCAATGCAAAATTTGAACGACACGGCGGGAAATATCAGCATGATTGACAGTCCTGACCTCGACTCGGCCGTGTTCATTCGCTTGTTGAAGGACGCGGAGATTGAGTGTCACGGAGTCGACGTCGATGGTGTGCTCACGGGCAAAGAGGGGGATATTGTCATTTTGAGGTGGTCAGATGCAAACGGGTTGGTGGAAAAGGGGGATGCTGAATTGGTTTGAGGCTGCCACCATGGATGAATGACCTGTCTACAAACAATGAGGGGTAATGGGCTTACGCTTGTCGACATTGGACGATCACGGAACTTGGGCGTTGGCGGAAGCTTTATCTCCAGGACGTCACTCAACACCACCAAATCGACCGATCGACGACGGGAGTTATGGCGGAATTCCAGTGCTCGACCCCGTTAAACTCGGGCGATTGCTATACAGCCATCTCGTCGGTGTTTGCGGGACGAATATTGGGACCGGGTTTGCCAGATTTGAAAAGGTTCACGCCCACGGCTACGTCGCAATGACGTGCGGGCGGTATGAAACCTCACGATGATCAGACGAACAGCATCAAAGACGACGACGAAACAGCACACCCGAAGACACATCGCTAACAACGACCTGCTCACCTCCCCATCTACAACCGAACATTTTGCAGCGGGTACACCCCCCAAAACCACGCATCATGACCACCGTCGCCGCCGATTCCAAAACCATTGTCCTCATCACCGGCGCCACGCGCGGCATCGGCTTCGAAACCGCCAAACACCTCAGCACCTCCCCCGACCAAAATTACCACATCATTCTCTGCGGCCGCCGCCCCTCCTCGGTCGAGTCCGCCATCACCATCCTGCGTTCCCTGCCCAACCTCCACGCCTCCACCACCTTTGAATTTCTGAATCTCGACTTAACCTCCGACACCACCATCTCCGCCGCCGCCGCCGCCGCCCACATCGCCGCCAAACATGGCCACCTCGACACCCTCGTCCACAGCGCCGCCATCTCCTCTTCTTTTCTGCACACCAACGTCACCGACCCACGTGCGCCCGAGAGGGCAAGAGAGAACTGGCATTCCATCCTCGACACGAACCTCATCGGCCCCGCGCTCCTGACCGACGCACTCCTCCCTTTACTATCTGCGTCCCAAAAACCAGAACGCAAAATCATCTTTGTCAGCTCCGGGCTGGGATCCATACCCTACACTTTCAACAACAACAATGACGAGGCCGCCAACAGTCGCAGCAGTCTCGACTTGGATAACGTCACGAGCAAATATACGGAATTCAGCGCTAGTAAGGCGGCGTTGAATATGTATGCTAAGCACTTGGCGTGGAGATTGGAGAATGCAAAGGAAGGGAAGATACTAGGAGGCACGAAGGGAGAGCAGGAGACTAAAAAGTGGAAAGTCAATGTGGTTTGTCCGGGGTATACGTCGAAGACGGCGGGGGGGTTGGATAGTTTCAGGGGAAAGCAGGAGCCTTGGGAGGCGGCGAAGACGGTGGTGAGGGTTGTGCAGGAGCAAGGAGAAAAGACGGGGACGTTTAGGGATAAGGAGGGGGAGGTGCCGTGGTGATGGGTACCTCACAGTAAGTAGTGTGGTGATGGTGGTGGTGGGTGAGGACTGCGATACGGATGTGAGTGAGGGTTAGGGTTCATACAGGGTGGAGGTACCATAATTGAGGAGGCTATTCACATCTACTCCTCACATCGCTCGATGGACCTGCTCGTAATGTACATATCGATGGCATTTCTTGGGCGTTTGTAAATTCTAAAAATAACCATAATTCCAAAAAAATCACGCAACTGGACATCGATGATCACTGTTCCGTTGATCTGGTAACGACCCTTCCCTGACCTGACCTGCACCAAAGCTCCAGACTGTCAGACTCTGACAGACTAGTTGTACAGAGTGTACATACCTTAGTACAGACCATGACCTCGTATTCACTTCCATGCATGCATGCATGCATGCATTGAGGCAAAAAGGACCCTTCGTACATTGAAGAAAGATCAAAGCCTCAAACGTTCTGGCCTATGTAGCCTCAAGCATCTCGAGGAGAAAGAAAAACGGCCCAGATGCTGGATGGACATATCACATGAACGGTTATTGCATGTTGTTGGCTGGGAAGTCCCTCGTATTTAAAAAAAAAAAAAAAAAAAAAAAAAAAAAAAAAAACTAACGGCTTAAGTAAAGTTACTATTTCCGGTACTACGAAAAACAACAATACATGTGCGTACCTACAGTACAGACCAGACCACGCACCGACCGACAAGACACAACGAAGCCGCGCAAGACTTATGGTAGGTTAGGCTCGGGCTCGGGCTCGGTCGGGGAGGACATGGTGAACTCGCTCGAGGCCGGCTAAAACTACCTACCTCTAGACTACAGTATGGTTTCACGTCAATTTCGTTGGGTGTATATCACAAGGTGTATGCACAAAGGTGTACCACGGAGAATAAGTAGAGGTAAACAAAGTTTGAGCACAACACTTACCATACAAGGTAACATCCAAGATTTTGCCTTGCGTAACGCAGCGCAATACATAGTCAATCACGGTCACACACAAGCCACAGACCCGGGCCTAAGTAGGTAGACCTACATAGGACAAGAGCAAAAGGCCTGGATACCTTAGTTAGGCATTCACGATTTGATCTCTCTCTCTGTGTGTGTGTGTGAGCGTTACATAACGAGGGTCAAGGCGTGCCGCGTTTTTGGGTCAACTGAACCTAACAACCAAGGTAACCTCCAATCATGATATTTTACCTTGCTTGATTTCTTCTGTCTTCGTCTATGGATGATTTTATTCGGCTTCTCGTTTGTGGTAGATTTGATGTTGGAGGCCGCTGACAGAAGCTGGAGGTTGGTAGTAAGGAAGTGAGTGTTTCAGTTCTCTCTCCGGCGACCGCCTCACATTCAAATAACCAACAAACAACCTACCACCTAGCGAAGCCAAGCGAGGCCGATGCTGATCACTCACCCACCCAGTCCCAGCCTTCCATCTGTGTCAGTCAGTCAATCACATTGATCATGGTCATGGCTCATGGCTTGCGCTGAGCGGTCCGGGGGTGGTGGCTGGCTTGGACGGGACGGATTTGATGGATTTGGATTTACAGTGAGGCGTGCATCGATGTTCGCTTTTTCCTTTCTTTTCTTTTCTTTTCTTTTTCAGTGTGTGGTGCAGGACGCTCGCTGTGCAATGCAGTGCAGTGCAGTGCAGTGCATCGTCCGTTCCCTTCCACTTTGGACGGACACTTCTCGGCCCGCCCCGCGCGGTCTGTCCTGTCAACTGAAGTTTTTTTTATTTTGTCTTATCAAATTGAAGCTTGTGCGCAATTGTTTCCATTCCTCTTGGTTTGTTGAACCCCAAAACGGGTCAATATCGTGAGTGCCGAAATCCGTCATTTTCCAACTTTTGTAAAGAAAGAAAAAGAGGAACACAATGGAAAAGAAAGGAAGCTGAGAGAGAGAGAGAGAGAGAGCGGCGCGTGGCCCAGCGTCAAACAACAACCGACACGAATTGCAACTACACTAGTGTGAAAACTCCGAAACTCTGTCTCGGTTTTGATTGGCCACTGCCCTGAATGGGATTACCGAATCGGGAAGAATAGTAGGAGCACCACGCCCACTCTTTTTTTTGTCCTCTCGTCAGTCGTCACTTCCCTCAGCTTTTCCTCCTCGTCTCGGCACTGGCACTGGCACTGGCAATGCCCAGGCCCGGGCGTCTCCTGCGACGGGACGAGAGGATGGATGGCTCGATGGCAGATGGATACCACCTACCACTACCACCACCATCGCACTGACAGATAGATATTTTGGACAAAGGAACGATGGCTGGATGTGGTAGGTGGCAGCAAGCAAGTAATTTTATTTTGGTTACAACACCCGCCAAGTCAAGGGAAATCAACGGGAAGTGCATAAAGTTCTGACCAAGATTGTACATATATATCCCTGTGACCGGTAATTAGAGATGGTATAACTGAGTGCTTTTAACTATATGCAGACGCAAACAAAAACGTCTGTGCCCGTAGGAGATAGAACATGAGGTGGCCGGGGGAGGGGAAACAAGGTCACGATAGGTACTACCTGCCTGCCTCCTGCCTGACTTGTCGTCGTTGCAAAAGTTGGAAAAAAAAAGTGTTTGGCTGGTGTCGGTGATTTCCACTGACTTCTCCAGTCTTGGACTTGCTAGTCTTGGACGGACATGGGCGCTGTGTCTCCAGTCTTTCCCCCACAAATGTCCACAGACACGAAGGCAGGGGACAGGGGACAGGGGAGTGGCCTGGTCTGAGCGGCGGCAGCGAGCCCTTTGAGTGGTGGACGGCATCAGATGGGAGAGAGACAAACACCACCAACTGATCTCCACGAGAGCGATGCGCCTCGAAAGTGGATATGTTGTGTTGTGTTAAAGACGTTCCTGCTGTGCTGGACAGGATGTCGTGTCAGTCCTCACACACAGCCCGGTTCAAGCATTAGTTGTGTGTTTGTGTGACCTCGCGAAATATAGACAGACAGACACAGCGGGCGAAAAGAGATTGTCTGATGTTTTTGGTTGTCATCCCTTCCGTTCCCACGATGATCCCTTTGTTGTTCATTACCTTATCCCGGGCAGTATCCCTATCTGTATGTAGCTGTTATGCTGCGAAAGGGTATAACCGAATCGAGTGTGCTCAGGCAGGGATATCAAATGGATGAGGTTGTCTAAGTGGTGCTTGACGGTAGTAGGTTCTGGTTGCTACGGCGTGAATGGAGAAGAAGGTCCGTAACATGGAAAATGGAGACTAGAGGACTGGAGCTAGCTAGGGAAGTGGTGCCCGTGGGTGGCTTTGCATGTGTGTGTGTGTGTGTGTGTGTGTGTGTGTGTGTGTGTGTGTGTCTGTCCGTTGGTTAGGTAGTCGTGTCCACGCAGCCATGTCATGTCGAATGGTATGAGTCCATTCCCTTCTTCCCTTCCCAGTGGAAGAAGACTCAGCTGCTGCTTTTTATATGACATAACATATAACCTCCACCTCCCTCCTCCCCCCTTCCCTTTTTCCTTTTCTCTCTCTTCCTCTCCTCAGAACTTTTTGTTGTTTTGTTTCCATCCAAGTAAGATACGCGTACTGAAAACCGACGACACACACTCGCTCTCACACTCGCTTGTTGAGATTTGCTGTTTGCATAACACGACGACGATATAAGATATCGGAATACCTTCACTTGATATAATATTTAATACGAACCGAAACAAAACAAAACATACAAAAATGCGCTTCACACCTCTCATCCTCACCGGCCTCTTTGCCCTCACGGCCAGCGCCCAGAACGCCACCACGTCGGCTTCGTACCCTGTGAACTCGGAGCAGGCCGCCATCACCAAGTGCATAGAGGCGTGCGACGCCGGCGACGTTTCTTGCACGAGCAAGTGCATTGCTGTTCCTAACCCTTCTGATTCGGATGTACGTTACTAACCTACTTACCTCCTCACTCTCTCTCTCTTCACCTGTCACTCTCTTTCACCACTTTCAACAACCCTCAGCTCCACCAATCTTTTGCCAGCACACACACACCCAACACACACTAACTCTTGTTTCCTCCAGGTCAACGCAACCAACGACTGCGTAACCGCCTGCCCCAAAGGCAGCGGCACCGACGCCGACAACGCCGCCTACCAATCCTGCGTAGAAGGTTGCATCAGCCAGCACTACTTCACCGCCACCACTGGAGCCGCGGGCGTTGTCGTCGCCAACCCCACCGGTACCGCTCTTTCTGATTCTGGTACCACTGGTGTCACTCGCACAAACGTCGTGGTGGTCAGCACCATGGTGAGCGGATCTTTTACCACGACGATTACGAGCACTAGTGCGGCTAGTGGTGCTGAGCCTACTGAGACGGGAAGTGATGATGACAACAAGGGTGATACTAGCACGGCGTTGGTGGAGAGCACGAGGAGTGCGGGTGGTGCAGCTGGACGGGCTGCTGGGGCTGTGGGCGGGTTGGGAGGGTTCCTTTGGGCGGTGGCGGCTTTGCTTTAAGGGATGTGAGATTATGAGAACATGAGTTGGGGTGGGTGGGATGATTGATGGCTTTGGATGGAATGTATGATTTGATGTGATGGTTATGGCTATGGGCTGACACGATGGAATGAGCGGATGGGATTGTTATGGGTATGGATTGATGGTTATGTATGGTTGGGATGCATGATGATGATGGCTCGGGATGGATGACTGATGGACTTAATGGGTTTCTTCTGCTGCTGCAGCTGCGGCGGCGGTTTGGGTCTGTCTGTGTTTGATATCACCTTCCTTGGAAACTTGGGATAAAAGTTGAAAGGGAGTGAATGGTGACGAGCGGTATTGTAGTATATAAAGCACAGCGGTTTGAATTACTTTGTGGATTAGATACACATCTGAGCTGAACTTGTGTGTATGATTTTGATCGAATGTTTCTTTGTTTTTGTGGTATCACTATTGTTGTTGTTATTGTTGTTGTTTACTTCCTCGTAGGAACGGTAGGCTCGATATCGGTTACCCAAGGAAGACCGAGCTGCTTCATCTCGACGGCCAGTTGGAAGAGGTAGTCCAAGCTGTTTGTCACACAGATCCCACGGTTAGCTTACGGCCAGACAACAACAGTAGGCAAACACAGACACGAGAAAAAGAACAGACATACCTCTCGCACATGGTCTTGGCCTTGTGCACATTCTCCCCCCACACATAGACACCATGCCTCCTCACCAACACCGCATACGTATCCGGATACTTATCCATGGCCTCCTCCAAAAACTCCGTCAAGTCCTCCTCATGCGCCGTATTCTCAATCACCGGGATCTTCAACGTATCATGGTATCCCAAATTCCCACTCTTGCCAAACCCCTTTCCAAACCCCTTGATCTGTTCGATATTGTTGATCATAAACTCCTTGTCCTTGCCCGCGCCCTGCGTCTCCAGAATCAACGTAACCAGCACCGCCCAATGCGAGTGCGTATGGATACAACAGCCCGCATTGCGCTTGGTGAACGCCGCCAGAAACAAGGGCGTGCACTGCGAGGGCTTGTAGTTGGCTGGCGAGCGGAGGTAGACGCGTTGGCGCTTGTCGAGCGATTGTGTCTGGGCGGCTAAGGACAGGACGTAGATGTCGTCGGGCTTCATGAGCTCTTTTTGGACGCCCGAGGGGGCGAGGTAGACGAGGTCATCGGATCGGATGGAGGCGCCGCCGCCTGTGCCGGTCACCCAGCCGAGAGTCCAGAACTTGGCGCAGAGGGCGGGGATGAGGTTGGCGGGGTGGTTGGGGTCGGAGGATTGGACTAGGTGGTCGTTGTTGTTTTCGGTGGTGGTGGTGGGAGAACACATTTTGGCGACGGGATTGGGGCCGACCGAGGGCACCAAGCGAAACTCTGGCTGGGGATGTGTCGTGAAGTGTTACCAGACGGACGGCGGGGAACGGGGAAGGGTCGCGGAGTTGGGAATCGCGGCGCGGGCTTTGGGTCGGGTCCCTTCAGGCACGGAGCGGAGGGGTCGATTTCGCGATTGATTTCGATAGCGGCCGTTGACGTGCGCGGACGGGAGCAACCCAAGTTTAGCGCCAAGAAATAAAAAAATTGTGGTCCCGCGCCCAGTTTAGGTAGAGGACTGGGGTGCGGGAAGAATGGCGCTATGGATAGGTAGTGTCGGGAGCTTCTGCCGTGCGGATCCTACTTGTCACCGTGTAAATATGTATTGCAGTTGAAGTTCTTCGAGATTAAGACTGGCGAGATGAGGCTAAATGGGACGGATATTGAAACGGACGGAGCCACAGTATTAGTTCATTCAAAGGGTTGGTTGAGCCGCGAACTCGAATGAATGTGAAGAGTTCGTTCGAAGTTTCAGCCGGCTCTTTGCTGCACTTTGAGGCGCCATCTGCAAACTTACATTCGTGGCTCTCGAGAACTGACCTGCCAATTTACCTCTAAGAGGCCATCAAGGCTCCAACTCGGGTTAAGATGTCTTCAACTGTTAGCCAGACTTCTTTTTCAGAAGGTGTTCGCCTTTCCATACTCGGAAGCTGCAAAGCTCCGCTGCCAGAATGGTTATTTGATGCGGATCCATCCGACGAAGATCGAGATCTCGGAACAATAACACTTTACCTTCTGGAAGACACGGTGGTGGAAACCTCGAAACAGGTATCATATATTTCACCGCACAAACATCACCATGTTCATACCAGACGAACAGAGACAAACAACTGGCGAGAAAGCGTTCACCTCGCTGCATGGCCATGTTCGTGGTCGAAACGGAAAGCCCCACATAATCCACACGCGCTAAAATGAACGACTCCAACACAATTGACCAACAGGATGCTTCCATGGCCCCATGTTTTGGTGCCGGTGAAGACATTCCGATTTGGAGTTGGAGATGGGCACATTTACACCGGAAGACCAACAACCACAATAACAGGTTCAAGCTGAGGAAGCTGAGATGAAAACCCACCGTTTGTGCCACATACACGTTGGCTCTTTTGTACATGGCAAAGAGGGATGACAATGGGTTCTAAGACTAAGAGAACAATTACTAGGTATCAAGATACACAGTACACAGTCCAAGGTTGGCCAATGAAAAGAGAGACCCCTGTCGTCTGTCCAATCCCGTCCGTGGAAGTTTCGAAGCATTTCCACAAGTTCCAGCCGACTGGACTCCGAAACGACGCTGAGAGGCCACTTTGTCATATGATGGAGCCTCCAGCAACAGGCCTGTGCCTCAAACCTGCCCCCGCAATAATTAATGTTGGTCTCCGCAGGATCCCGCCCGCTGCCGCCGCGCCAAAGCTCCCCTCCCCCCAAGCCCCCCCAGCAGCAGCTGTCATCTCAAGCAGGGCGGCCCATTAAAGACACGTTGTCACTTGTGAAGAGGTCAGTTAATACCGGGCACGCCTGGAAACTTTTAATTCATCATCCACCGAAACCCTTTCCCCCCATCGCCGCCTGCATTCTTCTTCCTCTTTTCTTTCCTTGTGCCGTGGGAGTGAATATCCATTGCCCAACAAGGTTCTTGTCTCTGTCTGTCTGTTTGTCTCGAACTCGACCTCGACTTCGACTTTGACGTCTTTCTTTCAGCAACAACCCCTCTCTCCATCCCCAACACCTCTCTCAACCACACACACATACGAACGCGACTGCGAATCCAGCTTGAGATAACAGCCACTTCGCCTTCATCATGAGGTTCAACGTAGCTGCCGCTGCCGCCAGCGCCGCCCTCCTTGCCGGAGGTGTCAGCGCCGACGACTCCCAAAAGGTGCTCAAGGACGAGAGCTCCTCCAGCACTGTCGCCGAGGCCGCCACCTCGGTTTCTCCCGCCGAGATCCCTACCTTTACTGTAAGTCGTCGTCGTCGTCAATGCACTCCAGTTACATCGACATCACGGACAGCAGCTGACCAATTACACACCCACACAGCCTACCAAGCTCAAGGCTCCTTTCCTCGAGCAGTTCACCGATGGCTGGGACGCGCGCTGGAAGCCTTCCCACGCCAAGAAGGAGACCGGCCCTGATACCGAGGAGGAGTGGGCTTACGTCGGCGAGTGGTCCGTCGAGGAGCCCGTCGTCTTCAAGGGCATGGAGGGCGACAAGGGTCTCGTTGTCAAGAACGCGGCTGCTCACCACGCCATCTCGGCCAAGTTCCCCAAGCAAATCGACCCCAAGGGCAAGGACCTCGTTGTCCAGTATGAGGTCAAGCTTCAGAGTAAGTCACTATCGCCCGCTACCCGTTTCTCATAACAGGCAATTGCTAACAGACACCGTTCAGACGGCCTCGAGTGCGGTGGCGCCTACCTGAAGCTCCTCCGCGAGAACAAGGCTCTCCACCAGGACGAGTTCTCCAACACCACTCCCTACGTCATCATGTTCGGCCCCGACAAGTGCGGCCACACCAACAAGGTGCACTTCATCTTCAACCACAAGAACCCCAAGACGGGCGAGTATGAGGAGAAGCACCTCAGCGCTCCCCCGACGGCCAAGATCGTCAAGACCACGGAGCTCTACACGCTCATTGTCCACCCCAACAACACCTTCCTCATCCAGCAGGATGGCGAGACCGTCAAGGAGGGTAGCCTCCTTGAGGACTTTGTTCCCTCGGTCAACCCCGAGAAGGAGATTGACGACCCCAACGACACCAAGCCCGAGGACTGGGTTGACCAGGCCCGTATCCCCGACCCCGATGCCAAGAAGCCCGACGACTGGGATGAGGAGGCCCCGTACGAGATTGTCGACGAGGAGGCTACCATGCCCGAGGACTGGCTCGTTGATGAGCCCCAGACCATCCCCGACCCAGAGGCTCAGAAGCCTGAGGATTGGGATGACGAGGAGGATGGTGACTGGATCGCCCCTACCGTTCCCAACCCCAAGTGCTTCGAGGTTTCTGGTTGCGGCCCCTGGACCAAGCCCATGAAGAAGAACCCCGACTACAAGGGCATCTGGAGCGCTCCTCTCATTGACAACCCCGCCTACAAGGGACCCTGGGCTCCTCGTAAGATCGCCAACCCCGACTACTATGAGGACAAGACTCCCGCCAACTTTGAGCCCATGGGCGCTATCGGTTTCGAGATCTGGACCATGCAGAACAACATTCTCTTTGACAACATCTACATTGGTCACTCGGTTGAGGATGCCAAGGCTCTCGCTGACGAGACCTTCTTCAAGAAGCACCCCGTCGAGGAGAAGCTCGAGGAGGCTGAGAAGCCCAAGCCCGAGGAGAACAAGCCTTCTTCGCCCAGCGACCTCAAGTTCACCGAGGACCCCGTTACCTACATCAAGGAGAAGGTTGACCTCTTTGTGACCATTGCCAAGAAGGACCCCGTCGAGGCTATCAAGTTTGTCCCCGAGGTTGCTGGTGGCGCTGCCGCCCTCCTCGTCACCTTCATTGCCATCCTCGCTTCCCTTGTCTCTGGCGGCAGCTCTCCTGCCCCTGCTGTCAAGAAGGCTGCTAAGGATGTCAAGGAGAAGGCCAAGGACGTCAAGGACAAGGCTGCCGAGGCTGTTGCCACTGGCACTGAGAAGGCCAAGGAGGCTACCAAGCGCAACACCCGCAACCAGTCGTAAGAAGCAGACAGACTGTGTGGTGGTGGTGAGGAAGTTGGAGGTGGAACTAGTTATTAACGGGTAATAAAAGGAGGCTGAGATTGTTGAAAGAGGAAAGAAACAGACTACAGGATCACCTCATCTAGTTGGGTGTTTTGACGTGACATGATGATTTTCATTTAGCTCTGAAGCGATACCGGCCTGGGTATAGTTGGCCAAAAGGTTCTTTGTGGTTTGGGTTCAGTTTCGAAGTGTTTGATCGATATCTCGGAGTATCAGGGTGGGGAGGCGCGCACACATGTATTCTAGCTATTTACCTAGGCTTATCACAATACTTTTTTGCATTATCTGAAGCAGTTAAGGCATTGTGGAGTGTTGATGTGACGGCGTTATCTTGACTGATAGTGACGGTGAACTCCGTGATGTTGTCTACTTAACACTACACTACTAGCCCGGAGCTTTGATCTGGTTGCCGGGTATCCGTTTCCTTCCCCGTCTTCCGCTGGGCTGACTTTGGCTGGGATGTGCCTGATGAGGGGGTCCCGCTATGAAGACACAGTGGAGAAGAGTGATCGCCGTCTTCCGACAGGGAGAAAGGGTCGAGGAAGGTCATTGGTTGGTCGGCAGGCGGCGGCTTATTCACTGCGAGCAAAGAAGCATCTCCATCTCTCCGCACTTCCCCCGCACGACAGCATGTACACTACGTATGCGCTAGGACGACACAGCGACACCGGGCACTGGATGGACACCATTCATCAACCGAGCGAGCTGGTTCAAGCCGGGAACAAAGTCGCCTCGGGCCAACGGTGGTTTCGAATGTGTGGGAAAGCGGTATCGGTCCGTGTTTGATAAAAGGGCATCATGGCCGGACCTCCTATCTCCTTGCTGTCGTTGATTCAACCAGTCAGCTAGGAATTAGGTCAAGGTAACAAACAGCCTGAGACTGACTGACCTCTACGGTTCTCGTCCCGTGGTTGCATTTCCATTTCCTCTCTTACCTTCCGTCCTCCCTCGACTTCTCCCTGGTCCAAGACTTCACTCAACATGCAGCGCCTCACTTCTCGGGGTCTCTCAGCGTCTGCCTCTGCCGCTGGTCGTCGCCTCGCCTCCACCAGTTCACGCAGGGCATCACCACTTCTGCTCTCCTCCGCCTCCAAGATGTCGTCCCCAGCAAAGACCCCTTCCGCCACCGCGGCGCGAAGGATACATGCCACCGCCAACCACCTCCGTCCTGCCGCCGCAGCCCTCGAGAGCACCGCGACCAGCTATCCTACCACCCACGACAAGATCGTCGACGTCAAGGACACTCCTTGGTTCATCGACAACAAGTTCGTGACCTCCTCCACCACCCAGTACATCGACCTCCACGATCCCGCCACCAACAACCTCGTCACCCGCGTGCCCCAAAACACCGATGAGGAGCTCAAGGCCGCCGTCGCCTCGGCCCAGAAGGCCTTTGAGTCGTGGAGGAACACCAGCGTTCTCCACCGTCAGGCCATCATGTTCAAGTTCGTTGGTCTGATCCGCGAGAACTGGGACCGTCTCGCCGCCAGCATCACCCTCGAGCAAGGCAAGACCTTTGCCGACGCCAAGGGCGACGTGCTCCGCGGTCTGCAAGTCGCCGAAGCCGCCTGCGCTGCTCCCGAGCTTCTCAAGGGCGAGGTCCTCGAAGTGGCCAAGGACATGGAAACGCGCAGCTACCGAGAACCCTTGGGCGTCGTGGCCGCCATCTGCCCCTTCAACTTCCCCGCCATGATTCCCCTCTGGTGCATCCCCATCGCCACCGTGACAGGCAACACGCTCATCCTCAAGCCCTCGGAGCGCGACCCGGGCGCGGCCATGATTCTGGCGGAACTCGTCCAAAAGGCCGGATTCCCCGAGGGCGTCGTCAACATTGTCCACGGCGCCCACCGCACCGTCAACTTCATCCTCGACGAGCCCGCCATCAAGGCCATCTCGTTTGTCGGCGGCAACAAGGCAGGCGAGTACATCTTTGCCCGCGGCTCCGCCAACGGTAAGCGCGTGCAGGCCAATCTGGGCGCCAAGAACCACGCCGCCGTCCTGCCCGACTGCAACAAGAACCAGTTTCTCAACGCCGTCGTGGGCGCCGCTTTCGGTGCCGCCGGCCAGCGCTGCATGGCTCTGTCGACCCTCGTCATGGTGGGCGAGACCAAGAACTGGCTTCCCGAGCTGGCTGAGCGCGCCAAAGCGCTCAACGTCAACGGCGGGTTTGAAGAGGGCGCCGACTTGGGACCCGTCATTAGCCCGCAAAGCAAGGAACGCATTGAGTCCCTGATTGCCTCGGCCGAGCAAGAGGGCGCCACCATTCTGCTGGACGGCCGCGGCTACAAGCCCGCCAAGTATCCCAACGGTAACTGGATTGCTCCCACCATCATCTCCAACGTCACCCCTAGCATGAAATGCTACCGCGAAGAAATCTTTGGTCCTGTCCTCGTCTGCCTCAACGTCGAGACACTAGATGAAGCCATCGAGCTGATCAACAGCAACGAATACGGCAACGGTGTCGCGATCTTTACTCGCTCTGGCCCAACGGCTGAGACCTTCAGGAGACGCATTGAGGCGGGCCAGGTGGGTATCAATGTGCCGATTCCTGTGCCTCTGCCCATGTTCAGCTTCACGGGCAACAAGAAGAGTATTGCGGGGGGAGGAGCGAGTACGTTTTATGGAAAGCCGGGAGTCAACTTTTATACGCAGCTTAAGACGGTGACGGCGCATTGGGCGGCGCAGGACGCGATTGGACAGAAGGCGGATGTGGCTATGCCTACGCATTCGTAGCGGTATACTATTTGTGTGCGTGTATAGTAGAGATAGGTGATGAATTGTGAAATAGTGAATTGGCAGGCAGGTAATTTGTTTTTGGATTTTTGATGACGTTCGTTTGTTCGTTTTTTTCTTTCGTATTGGTTGGGGAGGGGAGGGGTATCTGTGGAAGTTAATGTTTGGTATTTGTCTGTCTGTCTGTCTGTCTGTCTCTCTGTTTACTCTGCCTGGCTAACCTAATACACAATCATATCATAACCACTACAACAAATGTCCCACTAGCCTTGATCTAGGACTGACTGAAACTGTTATGGTATGGTACGGTCCTCGTACAAAAGGTCTCCCTCATACAACCTTTGTTTATCACTAATTGTCTAGAGGAGCCGAGTTGCAACTCGCCTTGGGGGCTTCGGTCTCAGGATTGAGTATAGTTTAGTTGGGTTGGGTTGAGTTTACTTTAGTTGAGTTGGGTTGAGTTGAGTTGAGTGGATCGAGTTGCATTAGGTGGTCAAGTAGGTAAGTTGAGTGAATGTAAGGGCTGTAGGAAAACTATACGAACGAGAATAAAGGTAGTCCAGGTACCTATGATGTACCAAACCTACCTTACAAAATTATCAGTTAGTATATATCATGCACTTACACTTACTTCTCTTCTCTCGTCAGTGTCCGTGTACAGTATAAAGGGTATCTCAGTTACTGCCAACATGGGTCAACAAACATTCATTGTAAAGTAAAAAAAAGAAGAAAAGAAAAAAGGGGAAAGAAAAAGGATAGATGATCCAGTTGATAACAGGATAAGGGAATACATGTTTCTAAAACACCTGATTGTAAGTAACTGCTCAGCCGCTTGGCTCTTCCGACTTCTACTTGAGACTTTTATATGTGTGATTTGAATAAGGTATTCTACAGAATTTCCGTATTTGACTGCTGGGTAGGTACCTACATAGCGGTAGGTAGCGACTAGTCTATCTGTTACTTACTTAAGTAGGTAGGTAGGCAGGTAGGTAGGCAGGTAGGTAGGTAGGTAGGTAATGGTAGATATTATGAGAAGACATGTTATAGTGGTAAGTTAGTCTAGTAGCCATAGAGTACAAGGCAGATCAGACCAAGCACAAGATGATTGATTGCATGATTATGCATTGCATTAGAAACATTGTGAAGCATATAAGTAGGTATTTGTGTAAGTTCCTATCGTGTTTTGTTCTCTCGCTATCTGTTTGTTTGGTATCACCTATCTCATTACCTCCTTACCCCTACGCTGCCAAAAGAGAGAGAAGCCATACATACACAAAGACAAGATATCAGCGGCTGGGAGAGTACCTAGGTAAGTAGGTAAGAAAAAGGGGGAGCCATATCATATTATGTCAGGTCCAAAGATAACTACCACTCACTACTCTCCATCTGCTGCTACTGGGGGATATCCATCGTGTTCTTCCTTCCTGATATTCAAAGAGGTGCTAAGCCCGCCCACCTCTCATCCAAGAAAATTTAGATACTGCACGAAAGAGGAAAAAAAAAAACCATCATACAATAACCCACAAACGAAGAGAACTAAACACTCAAAACCAAATCTCAACCATAATAGAATTAAATCCCCGGCTTCGAAAACCCATCAGTATTAGGCCAATTGCCTAACCCGGCCGGATCCCCTCCAATCCTCACATACACACCCACAGCCGGCACTCCTCCATCCAGCACAAAGAACTGATACCATCCGGGCGGCGCAGTATGCGCATTAGGCGGCGCGTCCACAGTGCAAGACGTGCCCGTGCATTGCACGTTGGGCATGATGGTCCTGGCGCCCATCGAGTTGCCGTGGGTGCTGGATACCGATCCCAAAAGAGTGACGGTGATGGCGCCGTTACGGGCGGCAGCGCCGAGGGTGAAGGGAATGGTCTTTTGGTTCCAGTCCCAGTCTCTGTTTGCGAGAGTAAATGTGGGCCGCGGCTTGCCGTTGAGGAGATAAGGCGGGACGAACACCTCGACGCGGTACTCTTCGGGGTTGACGGCATCCTGGGGGTCGGAGCCGGAGATCATGACGCGCCCGTCGAGAAGCGTGATGGCTTCGGAGTGGTACATGCGCGCGATGGTGGTGTTGGCCATGACTGTGATGCGGGAGCCAACGGGCTTTGTAGGGTCGTAGAGCAGAGCGTTCAGGTTCGGGTTGTTCGCGAGACCAAAGCCAGCGACACCGTGGTGGGCGCCGTTGGCGATCAGGTAAGTCCCGTCCGGCAAGGGAGCCATGCATGGCATGACGCGGAAGGATGGCATGCGCTCAATGACCCATGTCGGGTTGGCGTCGTCGGGACGGGTGGACACGCAGTTGTCGAGGGCGTAGCCGGGGCCCACGTTGGAACCGCCGCAGATGAGGACCCCAAGGTTCTCGGAGTATGGGTAGCGCTGCGGGAGCAGGACGGCGGCGCCTTCCAAGGGGTAGGTGCGCCCGGATGTGGGGTCATTGACGGCGCCGGGGACCTTGGGCAGTACTTTGATGGTGGCAAAGGTCTTCTCGTCTAGGATTCTGGCTTCGTTCCAGTATTGGACAAAGATGCCACCGCTGGGCAGCACTGCGACAAAGGGGTAGAGGTTATTGGGATCGGTGCGTTCAAGCCATTCCATGAAGAGTGGTTTGGTTCCGGTATAGGGCAAGACCTCAATGGAAGGGACGGCGGCAGCGTTTGAGCCAGTCTCGCCTCCAATCACAAAGATAGAGCCGTTGGCCATGACCATGGCGCTGGGATACCAGCGACCCGCTTGCAAGCTCAGCTCGTTGACGTTTTCTTCCCAGTCATGACCAGGCCAGTACAGACGAGTGCCGTAGGTAGAGTCTCCAGACCAACCCCCCACTGTCAGCTGGCGGCCTACCTTGTCGGGCAAGGTCACACCACCAGCACAGAACACATCAGTCTTGAGATGAAGTTCACGGAAGGCCGCATTGGTACCGATCTTGGACAGATCGAGCTCATATGCACCCGTTTCGTTGGCAGGTCCAGTTCCCCATTTGGAAAGGAAGCTGATTTTGCCTTCGATAGTTTCGGACGTCATCAGTGGAACGGTAACGCCGTTGACGAGTAGTTCATATTTGCCGGCCCTATAATCCTGGGGGAAGTCCCACGAGTAAAAGGGTGTTCCTGTCCAGAAGTAGGTTGTGAGGCGGCTACCACCACCGCAAATGGACGATGTCTCACCGGGACAGACAATGTTGCACTCCGATTCGGGGCGTTTGGTGGCACCGGATGTCCCAATGTTGGCCGGATCACCGCAGTAGCACTCTTGTCCGTATTCGAGACCAGCAGCCATGTATCCGTATTCGGCACATCGATCGAGGCACATCTTGGGCGTCATGACATTGGGGAACTCGGATTGCCAGAAGAATGTGCGTTGGTTGTTGAGGTTGTCTTCATAGCAGCCATTGTAGGCCCAGTCACCCACCGTCTCTTTCGGAGCTGGAGGAAGGTCCACTTGGGGTTCACCACGGGAAACAATGGTGAGTCTATCACCTGCGCCGCACTTTTGGCTTGCGTCTCCTGGACAATTGACGCTGCACTGGCTGTCGTCAACCTTCGCTCCACTGTTAAAGAGCGAGTTTCCGCAGAAGCACTGAACGCCATATTCGGTCCCGGAGATGGTGTATCCCTGTGAGGCGCAATACGTGGCACAGACAACCTGAGAATTAGTCTGGCTGTCGGGTGCCTGGTGGTTGAGGAGACGGCCAGTGGTTCCCTCAGTCCAGCAGCCTTGAGGAGCCCAACCTTCGGGGAGACCGGTGGGTTGGGGAATTGCAGACGAAACGGTGGAGCTAGGAGCGACTGTCGTGCTTGGGGGTTCGGTGCCATTTTTGGCATAGACAGACAGTCGGTTTCCAGCGCCGCAATACTCTGTGGATTTACCAGCGCAGGTCATGCTGCAGTCAGAGTCGGGTGCGGCCACAGACCCAGCATTGAGGCTGTTGCCACAGTAGCATTCGCGGGCATACTCTACACCAAAGAAGGTGTAGGCAGCACAAAAGGCGCTACAGGCCTCGAGTGTCATCTCATCTGACGCAGTGGTAGCAGCGCTCAGAGCGCGGTTGCCAGTGGCCTCGGTGCGGCATCCGTACCAGTCGTAGTTTCCAACGGACGCCGGCTGAGCAGGGTCTTGGGGTTCGGGAACGGCTGAAGATGTAATGGCAATGATGCCGGAGACGGTCGAAGTTGGCGGGAGATCTCCCTTGATGTAGATATTGAGGCGATTACCACCGCCACAGAACTCGGTGCTGTTGCCGTTGCAAAGCGTGGTGCATCCGCTGGTCGCAGGGGCACCGCCATTCGAGATGCGATTACCGCAGTCTTCTAAAGTCAGCATGGGCTCCCTTTCAAGTGGTTTCGAGGGAACTTGCAGCATTCACCGCCATATTCCACACCCGCGTACTTGTAAGCGGAAGCATCACAGGCGGCCGTGCACTTGTCCACCGTCATATTCGCGCCTGGGATGGTACCAACAACGAAGGTAAGTGTTCTGCCGGTTGTGCCCTCCGAGTAGCAACCAAGAAGAGAATAGCCATTGACACCAGGGTTCGCCTGAGGTCCGACGGCGGCAGAGCTGTGGAAAATGGACAGTTTCGAGGAGCCCCCGCACGGCTCTGTTGCGTTTCCTTTGCAAGCCATGTTGCATTGTGAATCCTCGAGCTTTTGAGCAGTGGTGGCAATGCTCTCACCACAATAACACTCTTGTGCGTATTGGGTTCCGGCATACTGGAAGCCTCTTGCGGTACAAAAGGAGATACAAGCCTCATTGGTCATGTCCTCGCCGTCTGCATAAGTGGCCGCGCCAATTGTTCGGTCGACCTCGGTATAACAACCATCGTATTCCCAAACGCCTGGAAGATTGGTGGGGATGACGAGTTGGGAAAGTGTAAGTGGCAGCTGGGCGCATAGTTAGCTATGGATCATGAGAGCGAAGCACCTGTCAAGAATGAGGCTTACTGAAGACAGAAGAAGAGAGGTCAAGACGGCCCCTGCTTGAATTGCCCTCAT